TGGTAAAAATTATAAAAACAACCAATGAACCTCTTAATTTAAATAAATTCATTTATCATAAAGAGAATCATTTATTAAATATATTTACCATTGCGAGATTTCTAAGATCGACCTATAGAAACAATAACTCAAATAACATTTCAACCATATCTTCAAGTGAACAAAAACGATAACTTTCTCTTTTTATTTGCCTACTGGTATCCCTGAGGGCTCATAAGAATATTTCATTATGCGTGAACTCATATTCAACATTGTCAACAAACTAGCCGTTCTCATACCTCATCCGATATAAGCACCAAAATAACCATCTCTCAATACCTCGTCCGGTATTAGTACAAAAAATACTATTCATTGATACTTCATTCGATATGAGACAATGTTCGCGGTAAGGTTTCCTACATATTCGGTCCATCTACCATCTCTTAGGATATCCAGTAAGGCTACCATTCATTAATTCACATAACCAAATAATTTTTCATTTGTATATAAATTACTAATTTTACAAATTAACTGTAAATCACACAATATAAGTAATATATATATATATATATCAAGGAAACACAATTGAATCATTTAATCATTCCGGTATATCATCATATATTTAAAGTTGTAATTTCAACAATCAGTTAAACATGACAACAAATAAATGACTAACCGATTTTCAGCCCTATTAGTAACCTGTAGTTATTCTCAAAGTTTTCTAAATTACATAAAATACCGTATTACCAATTATTAAGTTTTAATTCTATGATAGAAAATAAGATGAGGGATTCTTACTCGAATCGGTGTCTAAAACACCAAACTTTCTATTGCACATACTAGCAATCCCTGAATTTTTTGAATTTTATTGCAAAGATTAAAATACGCTTTATGTACCTAAAAATACCCCAATAAACCCAAAATCGGTGTTAAAATTTTTTTTGGATTAATTTCAGAATTCCAGTATGGTGTCGCTGCCGTGCTCCGGCAACGGCACCGTCGCCCACGATGGTGGCCTATGGGGTAGCTGGTGGGTTGCCAACAGTGGCAGAACTGTGTGTGTGTGTATGGTCAATTGGTGGATGTTAGGTGAGGACTGGTGTGGTAAGGATGTGCGTGTGTGTGTGTGGCTGGTTTGGTGGAGATGTGTGACCGAGTAAGGGTCGTTGGGGGTTAGAGTGTGTGCGTGTGGCCGAGTGATGGTCGTTGGGGTGTTAGTATGTGTGTGGCTGAGTGAGAGTTGTTGTAGTGTTGGTGTGTGTGTGGTCAAGTGAGGGCCGTTGAGGTGTTAATGTGTGTGTGTGTGGCTGAGTGAAAGTTGTTGTAGTGTTGGTGTGTGTGTGGTCAAGTGAGGGTGTTGTTACGTTGGTGTATGTGAGTGCGGCCGAATGAGGGGTGGTGTAGTGTTGGTGTGTGTGTGGCCGAGTGAAGGTCAGCATGTGCATATGTTATATGGTTGAACTGCTCTAGTAGTGTATCAATTAGGATTGCCGTTATTGTGTTTCTGCTGGGTCATGGTGAGTAACCGATGTGGATATTCTATTGTCGATGTGGTTGGAATGACTCTATATATGTGTAAGATCATCATACTTTGGATACAAGTTTAGAGTAAGTTTATATAAATGTCATAGATTGTGAAAGATGGACTGGTTAGGTCTCTCTAGGTACATGACATATTAATGATGATGAAGAGATAGACTAGTCAGTATTATTAATTAGTTAGAGAAGGGTTGGGGACTTTTGAGGGAGACAGGTGAAAGTAAATGGTTAGTGTATATTTGCACATTGAGTAGGATTACACGGGGGGATGTCAGGCTAGAAATGTAAATATTTTTTTATACTTTATTTTACGTTTCGAATTCATTTTACTGGATTAGAATATGCTCATTCCATGTCATTTTCAGATACAGTAGTACATGGGATGGAACTGGGATTACCAGCTACAGTACAACACTTAGAGGAAACGGATTAATCAAACCGTATAGATTCATCTTAACTTACACTTGTAAAGTTACAATTTAACATCCCATTTGAAAACAGTTTCCACTTGTCATTTTGGTATTTGTGGTTGTAACGTACGATATTTTGAATTTAAATTTGACGAATTGGACTATTTGATGTATAATGAGTAGATGAATACAGAAAGTGTTTGTTTAATAGTTATGATTTGGTTAAGGGATGACAACGGGTACATTTAACGCTCCGAAAATTTAGGAGTGTTACACAACAAGACATCATAAAAGAATATAATTACAAATTTTTGCACCACCTTTACACTTGTAAAATATCTTGGAATGAGAGAAGCTCGAATTGTTAACCTCGTAATCTAATATCCACCGATTTTGGATATGTTTCAAAACTTTATTTTTATTTATATTTGTTAATAGAAAAAAATTAAAATGATTGTATTATATTTGGAACATTTAAAAAATGACTCATTTTTAATTTTAAAATAATTAAAATAAGTTGTTTTTCAAAAAATTTTATTTATAAAGTATTTTAAAATTTAAAATGAGTAGTTACTCTTTATAAAGCCTCTAAATTTTGACCTTCTTATTTCATTAAAATTGAAATAATAAATTTCAAAATTTTAGAACTAATTTAATAATTTACTAGTGAATATATTAAAATTCTATATGAAATTAAACTACCATAAGAATTTCACAAATTCAATTAGAACACTGGAATTAAGGCTCTTAATTATTTAAATAATAATAATGTAATGATTATTATTGTCATTATTATAAACCGTGTCACTCAATTGAATCTCAAATACTTGTACATAACACATTCATTAATTTACCTTCATAATAACCATATTCATTAATTTGGTAATTAGATTTAACTGGCACTACTTATAATTCACAGTGTATTAATCAAACTTTGTCATTTATGTGGGACCTTAACACTGTGTTTGGATCATGGTAAATGGTAAAATTTTAACGTATGGTATTTTACGAGCGTGAGAAAACCGTGTTCGTTTCAACTTCCAATAGTAACAAATGGTATTTGACTGGTAAATTTTAGAGTGAATTTTTAAATCACCAAATTGGTGATATTTAGTGGGCATTTTATTTACTTCTCATTATACCCCCCATCTAATTTAATTAGTTATATATATGTCCTCACAATTAAAAATTTATTAAATTAATATGATAATATAAATAATTATTATTTATTTATTTAAATACAAATATAATTATATTGATAAATATT